CAAATAATATGCACATGCAACGCTGGCTACACTGACGTTGGTTCAGGAGGAAATGTACTATGCGTGGGTATGTATTTTGTATGGGTCTACGAAAATTGACCGAACGAAAAATACTCGAACGAAAATTGATCGATACGTAAATTGATCGATACGAAAATTGATCAACACGAAAATTGATCGCTACGAATATTCATCGATATGAAAAGTAGTCAAGCGTTTAGTTAAAAGAAAATAATCGTTTAAGTAAATTTTCTGTTGATACTAATAGGTTAAACAGCGTTAAAAAACATCTAGAGAATGATGAGAATTTGAAACTGAAAAAGCATATATTTCACTGATGTAGGCGAATTATTATACGCTAAAGATCACCTTAAAGAAACATATTTTTTTAAAATTCTAATTAACTTCTATTACTATAAGATAAATTTTAAATAATCCAGTACGGATTATATTAGTAGATTCTTAAAAGGTTACATAAAGAGCTGTTATACTAGACGGGCCTCTACTATTTTTTGTAAAATGTCAACATTTACCTTGAGCACTACTCAAAAGCACAAACCTTTATTACTTTCTAAAGGGTTTTGTTACATTATTGATAAAACAACTATTGATAAAACTTATTCGAAATGTGAACATGCTCGAAAACTTAAATGTAAAGGTCGAGTTCATACTGATTATATTAACACAACGTTGTTATATAAAAATGATAATCATAATCATAGCGGTAATGCGGTTTCAATTGAAATTATAATCTTTGAAGAAAAAGCTCGTGATCGAGCAACTAATAGTAATGAAACTACCCAAGGTGTTATTGATAATTGTCTGACAAATTTATCTGATTGTGTCGTTGCTCGCCTTCCAGACTTCAAACATATTAATCTACCTAAACACCAACTCCCGCATCAATCAACTAAGAACGAGCATCATCCGCGCGACCATTTTTACCCAACCCCTATTCTACAAATCGGTATTACAGACTCAAACTAATTCTTTCACAACTTTAGATAAATGTGAGGTGAAAAATGGTCAATGCGATAATAATGCTACATGTGACCACAGTACTTCTGACTTTGCTCA